TTCTCAGTGTGACCCAAGTACTTGACACAGTGACGGTACTATCTCACTCTACCTATTTCCTTTATATAGGTTATTTTCTCTCTCCATGAATCTCTTTACTTTTTAAAAGTCCTATATAGTTGGATTTTCATACTTATTATATCCAGTACCCCCCCCTCTCTGTCTCTCTCTCTCTCTCTGGCTAGAAAGAATACTCCTTGAATTCATGGTTCCTTTGTTTGCTCACTGAGGTGTCCAAAGTGTCTTCAGTACATAGCAGGCACTGGATAAATATATTTTGAATAAAAGCAATTTTCTCAAAACAGGATGAAAACTGTAAGTGTGCCCAAAGCCATTAGTATTTTAGTTTCTTAATACCTCATAATCCAGATTGCTAAAATCTTCTTTCCTTTGCAACTGAGAAGTGCTTACAGGGATGGTGGTGGAGAGTGATCGGAAGGCAGTTCTGCCTGGTTCCTGGAGCTCCATGAAGGTGCCACATCTGGGGCCAACGAGCTTTATTTAGCCTTACTTCCCATAGGGGTTTTTATCCAGGTGGCATGCAGTTTTCTAACCAATCTCAGCTTTAGCTTTGGAGAAGGAGTTTTTCTGTTGCTACACTGTTCATCCTTTTAAACAACCAGACACCCAGTGATTGTGCGCAGCAAGCATGCACTATACAATATGGGTTATAAGAGACTTGCTTGGAAGGCACAGGCAAGTGAGACCTACTGGGTGAACAGGCAGGAGCTCCAAAGTGCCTTTTTTTTTTTTTAACCAAAGTCCCATGGTCATCTGGCTCTGAAACGATTAGCATTGATTTGCTATCTGTGCACAGTGGGTTGCACCACTCAATTCTTGCACATATTAGACATACAGCAGTAACTGATGTATTGAAAGATAGTGACTGTTGTCCCAGTAGTTATAGGCTATATACTATACTTATAGGTCATATACCTGCCTTAAAAGCAGAACCATGGTTAACTTCTAGGGCCAGGAATTCCTGAGGCTAATTTCCCCTTCTTCCCCAGGAACACCTATTGGCTTGTATTGATAATGATACAATTTTTCATGTCACCTCATACTCAGTCCAGTCTATCTTCTTTGCAGCTTGAGAATTTTCAGACAAAGTAATCATTTAAAAAGAATCAAGATTAGCCGTTGTCAATGGCACAGGCATTTAATCCCAGCACTAAGCTGCAGAGGCAGGCAGATCTTTGAGTTTGAAGCCAGACTGGTCTACAAAGAGAGTTCCAGGAAAGCCAGCACTACATAGAGATACTTTGTTTCCATAAACAAATTGAAACAAAAGTAAACAATCAAACACCCCAATGTGTCAAGGATTGATAAAAGACATTTTCAGGGGTCCTTTGGTGGTAGGCTCAGACTTTCATAAATTTTTATATAGTACCTTCCTTTAAAGTACTTATTACAACTACCCATGTACCTGAATATCGTTAATAGTCACGATACACTACCTAATTTAGCCTTTTAAAAAGTGGTTTAGTTTCCAACTAACATTCACTCCACCGAAGCAAACTGCTGCCTGCTACTGTGTTTGCTCAGGTTCTGAGTGCTTGGGCAGCTGCTGTGTTGTGTTTGTTGAATGGAAATTGGATTCTTAAAGAAACCGGGTAATCTTCTCTATTAAGCAATTAAATAAAACGGGCTTTGGGCACAGTTAGCAGGTGGACTTGAAAGTGAAAAAAAAGTTTTGAAGATCACATTTGAATTCTAAAAGGATAATTTAAAATGTAATGACATACATTTAAAAGAAAATGGTGGTGAGAAGATTTTTTTTCCTATTAAGGCTTCCCAGTTAAGACAAAATGTGCAAGAATATCAAGGAATTTATACAATGAAAGGAGATGTTGCTCATGGAAGCAGGCCCTGATTTTAATTGAGAGCCATAGTTTAAAAAACAACATAGTGAAGCTTAGTCCATATTTCCAGGTTTTCTTCTTCTATTTAAAAATTTTTATTTCATTTACCATTTTATTTTGTAGAGTCGCTCCTCTTCACAGCAATGCTGTCACAATATGGGGACTTTCATAATACTCTGTTTATAGGTCAAAATGAAAACCAAAACCAAAAACGAAAGCAAAGGCGTTATTCTCCAACTCATTAAAGAGGCGGGCCTTCCCTTTTAATATATTCATTTTAATAAGAAGGTTGGCGATCTTTTTCTGTCTTGACAATTGATAACTGTGAAATCTGAGACTGGAGACGCAAAATATCCCACAGTTATTGGTGATGTACCCGTCGTAACAGCAGAACCACAGTTCTAGTCTCCGGCCGGAATTCCAGAGGCTAATTTCCACCCCTCCCACGGAGTCACCTGCTCCTGGGGAACCCCAGCCAGAAAGCCGGGTCGTGCCAGGTCAAATCTTGTGCGTCTCTTGTTTACTCCGCCCCGGGCTGGGCGGTGGCACGGACAAGTGGGTGGGGAGAGGGTGCTATGGCCCGGGGCTCCCCGGGAAGCTTGGTTCAGAAGGCTTGGGCGAAGCAGCTTGGGTGCCCCTGGTGGGTGGCGCACTGCCGGGCTCTGCGACTAGCCCACCCGGAGGAGGCGCTCCCGGCGCCGGCGCCGCCCAGAAGCCTGTGTCTGCGCTCTGGCGCAGCGACCTCCTGGGGACCTCCCCCGAGGGTGCACACGAGTCCACACACGCTGGGTAACGGCCCGAGGGAGCCCCGGTGTCCCCCGGGTGTTGCCGGGTTGGGGAGGAAGCCAGAGTCCCGGCCCCAACTCGCTTGGGATTCCCTCCCCACCCCCCGACGCCCCGCCCATCTCTCCCAGGGCTGGGTGTGATTTCAGCCCCGACCGAGGAAACAGAAGCGCACAGCTGGAGGTGGCAGCTCGCCCCCTTTCCCCCCGCGAGGCGCCCCCAGGAAACCGGCAGCTGCTCCCCGCGCCGCTGCCCCAGCCTATTTAAATACCCCGGCGAGGGCGGTCGGCTTCCTGAGCAGGGTGCACCCGGGGCGCCCTGGGGAGTGACCCCGAGCATAGCATTTGGGGCATTTCGAGCGCATGAAAACTTCGTGCTTCCGCCAGGGCACGGAAAAGGCTAGTAAAACACTTTGAGAGTTCCAGGGGCTGCAGTATGATTTTTTTTTCTCGATTGATAACAAACTCGTGAGTAGAGGCGGGGGTGAAGAGGCGAGGTACCCTGGCAAAATGTGAGGAGCGCACTGATCACCTAATTCCTTTCCCTAGGAAGGCAAGGAACCGGTACGTGGGAAGGGGGGGTGGGGTGGGAAGGGGATGGGCACGGAGGAGGTTTCCACACCCTAGTAGGAAATTCTCAGACTGCTCCAGACGCCCCAGTGTTTCTGCGTGGCAAGCTGATACCCGTCCTCCGGGGAGATCCCGGCTCCAAGCTGAGGGGAGCGAGGCCGCGACCTTCCTTTCCCGCGAGTCCGCAGCGGGGCCAGTCCGGGTCGCCCGGGCACACCGCACATCCCTCGCCCCGCTGACCAGCTCCAGACTGGTTTTTCTGGTTCAGCCTCCCTCCCAGGGACGCGCTGGGGGATCCGATGACGTCGCTGGCTGAGTCTCTCCCTCTTCCTCCCTCCCTCCCCTCGCCTCTCCCCCGCCCGCCCTCGCCGCGCACTCCTCCTAGTAACTTCTGTTCGGGGAGGCGCTGCCAGGAATAACCCGGTGCGTCCACGGCCGGGTGGGGAGGCGACCGCTGCGGCTCTCGCAAGCCGACAAACTGCGGCCCGGGTCCTGCTGCTCAAGCCCTAGCCTGGCGGCCCCGGTCCCCCCGGCCCCGGCTCCATCTCCTTACAGTGTCCGAAAATAAATAAATATATAAATAAAGGCAAGAGGAGCCTGGGCTGGCGGTGGGGATCGCCTCCCTCCCTCCTCCCTCCCTCCGCGCCCGCCCTCCCTCTGTCCTTAAGGAAATGCTACCAGACACCCCCCACCAGACACGCTCAGCCTGGGTGAGGAGCGGCCGCGGCAGCAAGAACAAGGGCATCAGGGGGCTTTCCTCCCCGCCTCCTCTCCCTCCTCTTCTTCCTTCTGCGCAGCGGTGACTTTACAGGTGAGCGGCCGCCGCGGCTGCGAGGATCCCCCCCACAGCCCGCCGCGTCGCGCCCTCCTTCGGCCGCTGTCACCCGGACTGCCGGGAGCTGACAGCCGCCCGAGGGGTTCGCGGCCGGGAGACTGGCGGCCGGCGGGAGGCGGGCTGGAGGTGAGGGGGTGGAGAGCTGGAGAGCGGGGCGCCGCCGTGCGCTGTCTCTCCCTGGTGGAGGAGGGTCTCCGCAAAAAGAAAAAGAAAAAGAAAAAGAAAGAAAGAAAAGAGAGAGAGACAGAGAGACAGAGAGAGAGACATCTTCGGTGACTGTGGCATAAGTCTTTGCCAAGTTGAGTCTTGGACATTGAAGCTTGCGGGGAGCCCGAGCAACTTGAAAGGTCTCCTGGCTGGGTAGCAGCCTCCCTCCACGCCTCGACTCTTGGGTACTGGGTGCAGCCCGGGGGTGCGTGGAGGGCGCACCGGCCGCTGGCAGAGCAGAGCGGCGGGAATCTAGGTCCCTCCTCGGCTCGGTAAGTGGCCTCGGCGCTGTGTTTTTCCTGCCTGCTCCAGAGATAGAGCTTCTTTCACTTTACCCTCAAATCGCCGTCGCCCAACTCCATCGCCCCCTCGGCGGCGGCGCGCGACCCCGGCCGGTTTCGCGGTGGCCCAGGGGTGAGGGTCGAAGGGGGCGGGGATGAAAGGGGGGGAGACCTCGGCGAGGGGGGTCCGGCGCGTTGGGAAATGCGGGGAATACCCTGGCCGAGGATCTATGCAGATGAGGGGAGGCTGCTTTGCGTAATGTCCTGGGGGGGGGAGGGGGCCGCGCGGGAGCGCTGGAGGCAGGAATGTGCCTGGTTACTAATGAGGGACGTGCACCGGCGCGCACCGCCCGGCCACCGCTGCGGCTGTCGCGGCCGGCGGCCCGTTGTCAGGTAGCGGGGGAGGGGGCGCGGCGCGGGGCCGGGGGCGGCGCGGGCGGGCAGGCGGCGCAGGCGGGCGGACGGCAAGGGCCGGGCCGCCGGCCTGCGGCCGAGCGAGCGCAGCGGAGGCACTGGCTGTGGGCATTTCATGGTGACTCCTTTCTCCTCCCGAGCGAGGAAGGAAGGAAGGAGAGAAGGAAGGAAGGAAGGAAGCGAAGAAGGAGGGGACTGTCTCCATGGAAGGTTCAGGCGGAGGCGCCCTCGCCTTTTGGGTGCACCGGCCGCAGAGCGGCTCCAGCCGCCGCCGGCTGGCCCCGGGCGCGTGGAGACGGGTGGGGGCGGATTGCATGCTTATTTGTGCTTCTGCTTGGGGGATCGGGAAGAAACATGTGTGTTTGGGCTGTGCACCGTGAGGAGCTGGGTCTGCGCCTTTATGTCTGTTCCCTGAAGTGGGTGGAACGTTGGCCCGTTCCGGGAATGTTCCATGACGTGGTGCAGCCACAGGAAGGGGGTTAACGAGGGGCTCTCTGCCGCGGCGGCTCTGCTGGCTGCTATCAAAGCAGATGTGCTGCCGCTGCCGCACCTCTCACCTCCCTTCACCCCCAGCCCCCCCCCCTTTCCATTTTGTGCGTCTGGTACTGGTAGGGCTAAGACAGGAAAACAGCTCTGTGCGTGCGTGTGTGCGTGTGTGTGTGCGTGTGTGTTGTGGTGAAAGGTGATGTGCGTGTGTGGTGTCTGCCTTATTCGGTGGGGGGACGACTCCAGATCTGCCCTGCCATCCCAGCTGTTATCTCAGATCGGTGCGCTTTATACGCATGTGCCTCCCGCGTCCTGTCCCTCTTACATAACATACTCAGTGCAGCAGAGGACCGGAGCAAATGCGACCCCAACCCTCAAGGCTCACTCTGTGTGGGGGCTAGAAGGTCGGAAAGGGTCTCTGTCTGGGTGTTGTGCTTTAAGGATGCGGCTCCCAGTGGGGAAGAGACCCAGGGGAAGGAGGGTTTCTTTTAGTAGTTCATCACTCGCCTGCTTGGAAGCATCTAAGTGCAAAGGACTGCAGGAACTAGTCCTCCGAATGCGAAAGCTTTTGACTTGCGTTGCCAAGGGAAAGTGGGAGCTTTCACCTCAGAGATGCAGCGAAGAGCAAGGGTCTGTAATAAAGATGCATGGAGGAGACCCGCAGTAACCTGCTTAGGTTGGGGGGCAGAAGGGGTTAGCTTGGAGGCGACCAGAGGAATCTCTTGACAATAGGTTACACTAGAAACCCCAGGACACCTGTAATGGCTTAGAATTCACACAGGAAGCTGTGTGTGCAACTGACATTGCAAAACCCTTATGCTCTGCACAGTTATTTAGGCCCAAAATGAACACAGAGAGGCTTGCTTCCGGTACTTTCATTATAACAGAAAAATTGAACTGATTTTTTTCCTCCTTCCCTTTCTGCCATTTTAAAAATAACTCAATTTATTTAAAAACTGTATTGGTACTTTCTTCCACTCCCAAAGCTAGACTTCAGTAATTCACAGGAGGACTTTTTTTTTAAAGCCAGCTCAGAGCCCTCATCAAGGGCTATTGATTTTTTTTCTTCAGCACAGTTGTTTCTTTTGCGTGAATAATCAAACCCAGGAATTACTTGTAGTATTAATAAGATTTATACTAATTAAATTTGCAGTGATCCGTTCCCCTAAAAAAAAGGCCATGGAACTCTATTAGACACATTTCCTGTGCTGATACAGTGATACTATTTGTCCTTGAGCAAACCAAGTTGTTTTAAATATATGCATATATTATTATGGATAAATATGTGTTAGGGTTTGCAAATGCCTGATTGCTTATGTGTCTTATAGGCATGCCAAGATAAAATTTTACACATTACCCAAGTGGATTGTATAATGAGCATGTTGGGTTTGAGTTTTAGGTCCAGAAGTTTTATCAAGACAGAAATGCTTTGCCTGTGAGTAAGGTGGAAAACATTTTTTATTGCTAAGAGAAAATTCTGGTGGAGCCCTAAGGAGTCACAGTACCGGATTACAATTGCATTTTTATTTTGAGAGGAGAGGGTGTTGCCAATATCCATGTACTGACAATGTGCTTCAAGTGTCATAATCTCTAGGACCACTAGGCTTGAAATAGGCACAGTATTTCTCATGTGCAGAAAAATATAGTATTACAATGCTGAATCTTTTGAAAATTGTCTGAGATCGTTGGTTGCCTTGAGAATAGATGGTGTATAACACACATTTGCTTATTGGCATCTGTGGTGCGTTCCAGCGATTGTATTTTATCAGATTGGCTTTATTAGCAACTTTTTATATATATGGAGTTGTTTAAGATTAAATCATTGAAAACTGATGGGGGACAGTTGGGGGAATGGTAATATATTAAAGATACTTCATATTTAGACTTCAGCTTATATTTTAACGGGTTACATCCTGTGGAGGGTTGTTGGGCTAAATAGTATTAAAGTAGACATTTCTGTAAGACATCCGATATGAATAATTTATTATGGGTAGCGTATTACATAAGGAAATGGTCCTGTTTGGCTATATTAAAAGAACACCTAGCAGAACCTTTGGATTGATCACCTCCTTTCCTATGTTATGCATTTACAAACATTCTTGTTACTATGAAACAAAACAGAAGACAACATATATGCAGGCGTGCCTTGGAGAATAGTGGTGCATGTGTCGGCTTGAACTTTTGGCACTCTGGCATTATTCAGAACCCAGGCTGAATGTCTTATGCTTATTCCAGTGAAATGATAAATTTATTTTATACTTTGCCAGTTTTTTTTAAAGACGTGAAGGACTTCATTTCAGCCATAACAACAAATAAGTCTGCTCTTTGTGTTTCTTTTTAGTTCTTGACTTAGTATCACATAGAAAAAGATTTGTAGAAAATGTTTGGCATGGTGGAAGTGTAATCCAGTGTTAGATGTGAAACAATTGGAACTTACACTATAATAAGACGAGAGTGGTTCAGATCAACTGGATCCATGGCTGTGGGTCAAACGGGCTGCGGCTTTCCTGCTGGCTAAAATCACAGTTTTCACATTTTGTTTCCTATACACACACACACACACCACAGAGAGAGAGAGAGAGAGAGAGAGAGAGAGAGAGAGAGAGAGAGAGAGAGAGAGAGAGAGAGAGAGAACCTTCTTTTAAGTCAGTCCTTTCCATCAGCCCTGTGGGTGGAGAAGTGACTCTATGCCTCACACATTGCTGCCATAGACTTCTTACTTGTGAAGTTTATGTGAACTCACTTCGAGTTCATGCTTTGGCTAAGCCTCGGTATGTAAGTGCTGTGACTTTTAGAGTGATATCGGAGAATGGGGCAGAGGAAGTCTGCTAGCTTAGCTTCATGAATTTGGGTCTCACACGGAGCTTCAAATCGTCCAGGGTAAGTGGGTTGGCTCTAATCACGCAAAGTCTTCCATAATACCAAGTAAAAACTTAAGTGGGCACTTTGTGAAACCATGGGTGGACGTAGAGTACTGAAAAAAATAGGGAGATTTTGTGATAATATAGTTATATTTGTCGGAAAGAAATGTCTGAAAAGTGGCACTACTTTCTTATTTATTCCTGATATCACAATGAAGCTGTGTGCCCTTTGTGGTAGTTATGGTAAAACTTGGAAGAAAGAGTCTGAAAATCAGTATTTTCAAGAGGTGTCAGACACCATTAGGTCATTTGGAAAAATATTTTAGCCCTTAATTATTGTGGCACAACTCCAAAACTTCACGGAAAGAGGATGTGTTTCTTGCCCTGTGCAATTAGGCTTCTCTGAGATGAGCCAGCATGAAAGTTACATGGGCCTCTGCTGGCTACATAGTTGCATTAGGAGAGAACCAGAACCGGTATTTCACCTATATTGGTCTAGACCAGAGATGCGCTAATCTTACACATTAGCACGGTCCATCATTTGAGGTTATCAACTATGATGAGTGAGTTTATTGTCTAAGTTGATCTCTAAGTTTAGATTTCCTACCAGCCTGAAACAGTGTGCAACCACTTAGACAAGACAAGGAGACGATTAAAGTGACGCTTCTGCCACTGAGGGTGAATCTGGGCAGGAAGCAGGAGGAGTCTGGGCCTCAGGATGATTGACATCCAGGAATAATCAGGCTCACCTATTTTTTTTTATAAGTATTTGCCACTCATACTTATAGCTGTTTTTTCAGAATACCATGACAGATGTCCTGTCATCACAATTGATAGTCTAGTCATTCAGTAAGTATTTTCGACGGGTCGGTCCTTATGCTAGCTACTAAGGGTATAATGATGGATCAAATGAGAAAGGGCGTTTGTGGACAAACACTGGTCACGAGGTGAATTTATCTGCGTAATCCTGCATGTATTTGCTATGGAAAACACATAAAGGAGCTTGTGTCACCCTGGTCTGGAAGCAAAGAGTCAAGTACAGAAAAGTAGCTGGGAAAGTATTGAAAGAAGCATGTAATTTTCTTGAGATTGGGAGATGTACGTGTATGTGTCCAGGGGCTGGAAGAGAGCCAGCGGGGCTGGAGGGCTGGTAACAAGAAAGAAGCATGATAACAAGATAAGCCAGACCCAGGAGGTGAGCCCTGGGAGGCGGGCCTGAGTGATTGCCCAACCAGGCATAAAAGCCTAAAAGAGGCCTGCTCTGAGCAAATCAGGCCCCGTGATGCCCTTCCTAGTTACCATGTTAGAGGATGGTTGTTGGAAAGTGAGTTTCCAAGGACTGTATCGGGATGTGTCACGGTTGTCTTCTTTATCTATTGGTCTGACCCTCTGGGAGGCTTTGGTTTTTTTTTTTTCCTTGTTTGTTTGTGCTTGTTTTCATTTTTCTGAGACAGGGTTTCTCTGTAGCTTTGGAGGCTGTCCTGGAACTTGCTCTGTAGACCAGGCTGGCCTCAAACTCACAGAGATCTGCCTGCCTCTGCCTCTTGGGTGCCACCACTGCCCAGCTCCTCTGGGAGTTTTTAATGGCACTGAAGGAGCTAACTTCAGCTTAGTATTTGTAGTCATAGGGAATTTAAATTACAAAAATATTTATTTGAGGGCCATAGTAAACTGAATCGATCTAATTGATGAGTAACTACCAACTCAGAGAATGGTGTCTTTTTTTCTTTCTTTCTTTTTTTTTTGTTGCCTTTTTAAACAAGGTCGTGGTGTGAAGTAATGGACTAATATTTGAAGCCTTGCATGAGCTGGATCTATTATTTCTCAACAACCAGTGAAGAGTGAAACTTACAATTCCCTAGATAATTTATCTACATGACTGCAAGTATCAGGTTTTGATTTCACAGGATTAGCGACCAGTGTCATGTGCTGGTGAAGGAAAAGAATTGGAA